GGATTTAACGTTTAATGCCCTAACAATCACCCTTTCTGTGATACCCAAAACATCGAATGAGTAGTAGGCACTGGACTCCCAATACCCATAACACCTCTCTTCATCAACACCATTGCAAGATATCACATTTCCCGCCAAATTATCTTTTAAACCGATTGCAGGAGGGGTATAAACATCCATGCATGAAATTGGAGTAACAGATTGATTGCAGAATGGGCCAGACACGGTTGGAGTTGTGCAACCTTCCACGGTTATGTTCCCACTGAAAGAATATGCTGAGCCTCGATTAATCTGTAGCCATGATGAGTAAAAAATCAAAGTCAAATGCTTAAGCTTTCCTAAATATAATTTCTATCTGTTTTAGAATTTGTACGATGAATAGTTAAAAATGAGAAAACAAATTACCATTTTTGACTGCGTCCGCATAGGTCCGACGCCATAAAAGAGGCCTATATACCATAGACCTGAAGGTATCTGTTGAATAATATTCCATCGATTTTATTTAAATTGCTAAAGACAAAAACACTGCTCATTACATAATAATGGTGCATAAAATTCGAAACCAACCTGTTCATTTGTTAATTTAAAAGATATAGTCTTCTGTATTGGATAGCACTTCTCAACTAGTTCGAGATCTTGTACGAACGTCCGATTAGAGGCGAAGTTTAACACTGAAGAAGAATTGCAGTATAATTATAAGTTAAAGTGGTTCGAAAAGGATTACCTGAATAAAAATACTATTTACCACTTCAAGGATTTTACAGGTCTGTTTGGAACACGGAAATGAGTAGGGGAAAAACAGGAAATGAAATTGGAAAGAAAGAAAACTTGAGGAAAAGTATAAGATAAGGCAAACCTCAATAAATCTATCTAAAATATTTGTCAAACTAGGATTTATTTATCATATAAATACTACATCAACATTACAAATTTACAACAACACTACCCCAGTGACGCAAAGGCTCCCGCATACAATGCGGAGGTAGAAATAACACCCTAGAGGAAAATTAGGAAGTAAAGAAAATGCGGGAGAAGATAAAAGATAGGTTATAGTTCATGAATTTATTTTAGATGGCTGTTCACCTCATAGCTCATTTTATTAGTTAATGGTTATTATATAGACAAAAATCTATAAAAATGTACAGGAAAAAAATGAATTCAAATTTCATTTTCTATGTTTGTAAGGCAAAGCCAAACATGAGAAATTAACTCCCTTGATATCTTTCCCCATTGATCCCTTCACTAACATTTTCTCTTATCTAAACATACCCTATGCATCAGGAAATGAGTGTGCACTGAATGAGAAAAGGAAAAAGAAATAAAATAGAAGAACACCTCACAAAATCTTATGCATCACAGAACTACATTCACAAGAATGAAAAACGTAAAGTAATTCCAGTCTATTAATTGAGTTCTCTATATGGTCAAGGAAGCTACACTTAAGTTCACAAAATGCTGGTCTTCTTGTACCTAGTCCTGAAGCAGAAACATTGTAGACATCGGGCAGAGGGGGGCTTCCTTCTCGGAAGCATATAATTGGTAATAAACTTTGAGGTGATTTTCTAATCCTCTGGAGGTCCTGAAAACATTAATAAATATATAATGGGGTAAAACGGGTTTAAGAGATTGAGCAAAGGTACTTACAATATCAACATCTGATTCTAGAATTATGTCAACGGAAGAGAACCACAGTGGCAAATCCACTGAAACGTACAAATAAAGAGAATTAGACCTTATTCAACTTCACCAATGCGTATAAAAGCAGTTATAGCTTATGCTTCATATATGCGAATAGCATTCAAAGAAAACTTTTGATTATTACTTTTTCCTAATCCAAGAGATGGATTTGAAGATGAAAGTGAAAGAGTAAGCCAAAAAATATGAGTGCTCCTGCACTATACGGCTTAGGGCCTTGGGCACATTTCACAAGTTCATAACAAATTTCCACTTCCCACCAGTTTTTTCTTTCCTTCTTATGTTATGATATTTCTATGCTTGTTTGGGACTAGATCAATAGAAGGTGAATGGAAAAAATGCCAAGATATACATAGAAATATCAAATCTGAGTGAAAAGATTGAAACTTTAAATATTATTAAATTTAATATTCTTATATAGTAGAAATGTTTAAATAAGAAGAGTTTGAAGGTTTGAACAAACAGAAAAACTTAATAAATTGAGTTTACAGAAATTTTAAAATCTGCTGAATTTTCTTTGGATGAGATAATTGTTAAATCTGGTAAACTTTCTGTAAGGAAAACGGTTCTGTAACATCTGTTTCGGCCAAATAAGCAAGTCAAATCTACTTAGTCTGCAAAAAAACATAGTAAGCAGGTTATGGCTACCAAACAGAGCTAAAATCAAAGTTTGAAACGTCACTGCGTTCTTAACAGGAAGAAACAACCCAAAGAACAAAAGACAATCTTGTATGTGTTATATTTATTTATCACCAATTACAAACATACAAGAAATCCCAAATCACCCCAGATAAAAGCATGTGGAAAAAACATGTACCTCTAATATAGCGCCAATCATAAGGTTTTAGCGCAGTTGTAGCGTATTTGAAGCTGGAAAGAGTGACGCTGCCACCGTGTACTTGTCCGTACGAAAAACAGCCTCGGCAAACAACATAGTACAGAGTGAGTATTAGAGAAAGACGGGTATTCGGATCAGAATGACCGGGAGTGAGGTTTTTGGACATTGGTTCTCAGTGAATCCTAAAATTTTCCTCCTTTCAGTGAAGTACAGCAATATTTCACTTGTAGCCTGCTTTCCTTTTTTATTTGCCCAAGATTTTTATGCTTCCTTGGTTCTTCATTTCAAAATATATATACTGCCTAGTGCCTACTTCTTATTCCCTACTTTCTTTTTGGAGTACAGAGTATAGGTGAAAAAAATAGGGAGCATCCGTAAAGAGTAAAAAAAAACATCTTTTCACTCAGAAAAGGGAGTTAAATAAACAATGAGAAAACTATTATGCTTCAATATAAAGTTGGGATATGATGATATGATGCTATTATTAAAAATGAGTTTTTGTGGTTCATATTGAAATAATAAAGTAAAAATAACATAAGTACGATTTAGAATCACATAGATTTTACTCTGTAGCAAATTTGATATGAGACAATCTAAATAAGACCAAAAAAGAAATATAGGAAAACCTTAGCATAGTTTTTCCTATATAATATGGGAAAAGTATTTTTAGGACTAGAACATATAACTTTATCACTTTTGTTTTTAATCATTGAATTTTTAGTTTTTCTAGCCTGTTTGGTAGTAGCCAAATCAACTGTATCGGTTGATTTTGTTGGAATTTATGAAGTTTTGGTTATGTGGCTGTATTGGCTTATTTGGCTGATTTGTGAGAAATAATAATTTAAAATACATTTTATTAATAAAATAAAGAAACATTTATATAAAAAAAATAGCTAAAATGACCTTTTACAGTAATTTCAGCCAATATAGCCACAAAAGTAACTACGTAGTATAACCTTACTTTTCTTATTATTACACAATTCAGTCCGTAAACCCAAAAGTAACGTGTTTGATAAAAAAGTTGGCTTATAAGCCTGAAAAGCCAAAAATCATGGCTACCAAACGGGGACTTTATTATTTATTTTCCTCTACACAAAAATATCAATCACATAATTTTTACTTTATTATTTTCCATTACAGTCAAACTTGATAAAGTTTTGTAAAACGCAGGGAGCAATTAGCTTCTATTGTAAAAGATAAAAAGACTATATGACACAATAGGTAATAAATTATACCGTACTACCGTGATTCTTAAATAAGTAAAAGATTTCACTTTTCAAACTTGTCAATGACCAACTTTAACCAAATTAGTATATTACAATTGGTAATTTAGGATGTTTTTACTTGGACTGTAATTTGCTGGTCTGGTCTGGTCTGGTCTGATCTGGTCTGGTCTGAACTGGTCTGGTCTGGTCTGGTAAGGTCTGGTTTCTTTGTATTTTTATAACTATCCAAGTCTGGTCTGGTCTGGTCTGGTCTGAACTGGTCTGGTCTGGTCTGGACTGGTCTGGTCTGGTCTGGTCTGGGGCAAATTACAGTCCAAGTAAAAACATCCTTATAGCTTGTTTGATAACCTTTATATTGAATTGATGATCAATAATTTTGTTATCAAATAGGAGTACATAACTTTTGAGTTTGCGTGATAAATTGTGTAATAATAAAAAAAAGGGATAAGGGTCATATAGGGCCTCGAACTCGAAAAAAAATGTCAAATAAGGTCATATTTCGGATGCTCTGTCTGGACGACGCCATTTGGGGCGGTTCCCAATGGAATTTTTTGATGAAATTTTTTGACCATCTTCCTCATTAAGTCTAGTTTACCCATACCAAATTTCAGCTAAAAACTCAACCGGGAAGGTAGTCAAATGAATTTTTGAAGATAACTGTGAAGTTAAACAACGCCGTACATTTCGGAAAATTATTTGACTACCTTCCCGGTTGAATTTTTAGCTGAAATTTGGTATGGGTAAACTAGACTTAATGAGAAAGATGCTCAAAAAATTTCATCAAAAAATTCCATCGGGAACCGCCCCAAATGGCGTCGGCCAGACAGAGCATCCGAAATATGACCTTATTTGACATTTTTTTTCGAGTTCGAGGCCCTATCTGACCCTTATCCCTAAAAAAAAAGAAAAAATGTTAAAATTAATTTTCTGACTGAATTACCTAAAAATTGTTGAAAAAATATTTTAATTATTTTCATATTTTTATTTAGTTCATTGGTAAAATATATTTTATGTATAATTTTTTTGATAACTAAAAAAATTAATAAATGGTTATAGGTATAACTTACTCGTATTAATTCACTCAATTTGAATGTCCTAAAATTAATTCACTCAATTCGAAAACAAATTAATTCACTAAATGTGTTTTCTTTTGGACTGTTTTTATCAAATTAAACTTCCATAATTATAAATACACACAAACCAATTATAGTTGAAATGGAAAACATCCTGCTATTTAAAAGAGTAATTGAGGACTGCTTAGAAACGAAACCTGACAGCCTACCAGATTTTCATGGTTCCTTAATCCTTAAGAATCCCGATTTGCCAGGAAAATGCGAAGAAGGATGACACAGACATGCTTTATTGGTTCAACTCCTTCTAGACTAGATTGACTGCCCATCATCACCAAATATCTGAACAGTCTCGCCATAGCTTTCAGCAACCAAAAGTCTCCAACCGCCGCGCAGACACGGAGATACATACAATTCACGTAATTTCTCTAACTTACATTAATAAATATATAGTGTATAAGCGACAAACGTTTAAATCAAGCACGCTGAAGCAACTAGCTGTAACTTGTATATTGTTTTTTCCGAGCGAATCAAGTGCAGGTTTATACACCGTGATCCGACCCGGATTGTTGGGGAAGAATGGCGAACGACCAGTACATGCACAAAATGCAGGCTCGGCAGAGCTATCGCAACCACTGGCACACCGATCTCATGAATGCCACTTTGGCAGATCCTCTCTGTGAGTTAATTTACGAGCTCTTAGGAAATGTGTTTCATTTTGCTTAGTTTTAGTTCATTTTACTCCGTATGGTATTGTGATCGATTTTGTAGCTAATGCTTTCGATTTCTGGATTTTGCAGATTGCTGCTTCTCTGTTTGCTGGTGAGTTTTTTGTAAACTAATATTCTGGCTACTGCTTTTGTTGATTATGAATATGTAATGTGCACTGTGTACACAAGGCTACCCGAAAAGAAGACTGAATGCACTCTCTCGGTCTCTCCCTCATTGAAAGAACACTAATTTCACTTTAAATAACCTTTTCTTTAGTACAGAAACACATATGGGTATGTTTTTAAATGCGCGGGGTTAAGGATGTAGTATTTTTTAGTGAATCTGAAAACATTGAAGTTCATTTCACCATATATATCAGTGTAATGTATAAGTAAACTCATATGGTTCAGCTTTTCATTTGCTATGTTGGGATTTTTATTTTGTAGTTTGTTGATGTCTTATGATTGGATTTTATTTGCAATATGTGTGTGAGTTGTGGTTTCGAATGAGAATGACATACTCCCTCTGTCCCTAAAAGAAGTTCCATTTCGCTTATCGAGGGTCAACTTAAATCACTCTTAAACTCTTACTTTTTATATCAAAATTTTATAAAAGTTGAATTATTTTTTTCAGGCTTTGTAGCGGGTTTAATGTAGTTTCTGAATATGTAAATTTATTTACTAAAAATAATCCGAGTTTTCACAGGGATCATTTAACTTTATCGTCGGTCAACCTTCGTAATCCGCAATTGGAACAACATTTAGGGACAGAGGGAGTATTATAAAAGAAGTGAGAAGTGTGCATTGGGTTTGAGATGTAAAAGCTATAAAAATCTTTAAATGTCAATAATGCGGAGACTTTTATCAATAATACAAAGCATTTTTGTTATTAAACCATTTTCTACACCATGAACAGTGTGCTACTCAAAACACAATAGTGCACATTGATAAACCAAAAGTTATCATTTGCACCTTCACATGCTAAGTGTCATGCTCAAAACAATCTCTCTCTCTTGTGGATCTATGTTCTATAGTTTTTTATTTAAATAAATTATAAAAAAGAGAGATAATGCTCTATCGTTTATTAAGATCTGTGAAGCTAACAACACAACAAAATTGATGTGCACTTTGGAAAAGCTCTTACATTTCATATGTCGGTTTTTTATGTTTAACTCTGAAAGACTATGTTAGTTTTAAATTATCTAATGGAATAGGGGGTTTTATCAAAGATTTCTTGATGGTATACCTAACAGTTTATAATGATCAGTGCTCCGTGTGCTTCGTACCTGCTACGCAAGAGAGCTCTTTACAATGACATGTCTAGGTAAAGCCCTCATTTTCACAGTAGAGTTAAAGAAGTTTTCTGAAAAGCATAAATTAATTTCTTTTTTCCAGAACAAGAGAAGCCATTGTCTGATATTGTTTTGTTTAACTCTATAACAACAGATATACATGTTGTGGGGGGTATATGCCTTGCAGCGGCCGTTGTGGAGAAAGTCATTGCCCTGAACTTTGTCTTTGCACTGAGGTATGTCTGTCTATTGTTTTGTGGCTTCGATCTATCGCACTGAGACATCCTTTTATTCATGTGATGATCTGTGCACTGTTTCTTATGAATAGGTATTTTGTTGCTTTGCGAATTCAGTTGCCTCTACACGCTTCATTTTACAAGATGAATTCAACATACAGACGACACAGTGTGATAATTGCATAATCGTAATCTCTCTCTCACTCTCTTTATTCGCATAATTGTGTCTTATGGTACAAGTCTTATACTACGGTTGTGATTTTTGAATGAGTCGTTAGGAATAAATTATCTGAAATTGTTTTTTAAAAACTGAGGATTTAATATCTTAAACAAGTACTTAAGGCTCTTACTCAATGCTGACCAACACTGATATCTAAAATATCACTGATGAAGTGTCATTTATCTTTATTGCATCCAGTTTGGAAAACTATGCAACTTCTGCACTTGGTTATATCATCTATAAATTCTGCTAATGCAGTTAAGTAGAGTAGTATTAAGAAATTATATTTAGTAAGTTGTCCAAATCCTTAATTAGGAGTACTTTTACATTATCGTTTGGTAAGAGTAATTTACTTCGTAGTGTTTTAGACATTGTGCTCTTCATTAGATTAGTCAGTGTATACCCTGACTCAACAATTACTCCACAATTGCCATACAAATATACAATTTCACATTGTACACATGATGAGTGTACAATACCCTATTCTGACCGTGCACCTGAACTCTAGAAAAGTTTCAGCGATTAGAAAATCATGAAGGTTGTTGCAAAGGCAACATGGTCATGTCAACTTTCTATTCCTAAAAAAGAATAATGATGTGGTGCTTTTTTTGGAATGTGAAAAAATATTGGTCCTATCCAAGGAGATTTGCCATAGTGTTTGGTAGAAAATCTTATTGACAGGGCTTATAATACAAAAGGTAGGGGACTGAACTGGCTTTGGTTTGACTTTCATGTTGTTTTTTATGTTTGTTGTATGCATCTTCTTCATTAATCATTTATTTACCTTGCTTCCTCATGTACTGTATTAGGGATTCATGTTCTGCCTACAGCAGCTGGCATGCATATGTAGCTGTATAGCTTGCATTGTTGGAAGTGAAGAACTTAATAATCTATCTCAGATGTTGAATTGTTTATCAGACACTGTTTACTGCTCGTAAGTGACCCGCCCCCAATACATACTCTTTCCTGCTTGTCCATTGTGAAGACACCACTTCCTTCTTAATTACTTATGTTATCTGTTTCTTTTCCATTGCAGGGTTTGCTCCTGTATGCAGGTATGTTGTATCACTTTTTGCAAGTGCGGAATGGAGTGTTGTTTTCTCTCCCATTTCCATCACAGCCTGGGGGTTTCTGAAAACATATTTCAAGAAATCAAGCAAACAAATTACTTTTTCTATGTATTTGGATTGGAAAGTAGTTCTTTCTCATGCCAGTTTTAAGGGTGTTCTAAAAAGTTGGGGTGAGCACTTCGGTTTAGTTTAAACTGAGCCAACACTGAAGTGCCACCCCTACTAAGAAGAGTTAGGTGCTACGTAGTGAGCATACTGGGACCTTGCACCTAGTAGAGTTTGGGTGGGTAAATCAAATAACAGATACGACTACGTGGGGGCAATTAAAATAAAAGTATAGGAGACCCCAAAGAAGGGTAGTGACTACAGAGGACTAGTCGGGTCTAATTAGTGACAAGGTCAGTCCTAGGGGGTTGGAAACAAGGAATGTGCCCAAGGTTCATGGAAAAATCATTGAAATTAATCCCAAAATTTTGTCATCTCCTAGACTCAAACACAGATAAGTGTCAATAAGTTTTAAATGTGTTTTGAGAAAAAAAGTGTTAGATCTATCAAGTTAGTGATGTAATAAGCTAATCCTGCCTTCTGAAATGGTACGAGAGTGATTACGAAGTAAGCAGCTTAGACAAATGATTGGGAAAAAAATCAGATATAATCTCATCCATAGACAGAAAACAAGTTCAGGCTTGTTCACAGTCAGGTTTTTTTTGAAGATAGAAGTTAAGATTTCATCACTTCTAATATCAAGTCCAAAACCCTTTTGGGAACTGAGAGGTTTGAATGTTTTCTTGCTGGGGTATTATACAGACACAGCACAAAGTTGAAATGGATAAAAGAGATGGCAAATTTGGAAGACCACAAGCACCATTGGCAGTCCCTCCTGTTCAACATATGTCTCGTATAGATCAGCCCCTCCCTCCTCCAGCAGGATCTGGACAGCCGCCCCCCGCTTACCCGCCCCAACAGCAGGGATATGTTTACCCGCCGCAACCTGGGCAGGGCTATAGTTACCAACAACCAGGACATGGCTATGGGTATCCTCCTCCACCACCAGGTCAGGGCTATGCCTACACGTCAACACCTCCGACCCAAGGATACCCATTGCCTAATTATCCCCCGCCTGCCATGTAACTTAACACATCAGTGGCACTACATTTTTTTGTGCAAAAACGAAGATTCATCATTATTTTCATAATAAAAAGATGTCCTGTTTCTTTCCTTCTTTCTCGTACATACTATGTATCAAATAGCAACAATTTTCAGGCCATGTGAGAAAACTAATAATATCTTTACTAGTTTCTACAAACAGCTTACAGTAATGCTTTTATATGTTTCACATGATTAACTTTGGAATAGGTTGATTTCTATATTTGGTGTTATCTTTATGTAGAAGCAATGTGACTGAAAGTGTGATGAATAAAAAAGAAAAGGTCAAATTCTTCGGTAGCAAATTTTGCCGAACTAATGGATCCAAAATAAAATACTCTTTCCGATCCCAAAAAGAGCCAATATTGTTTTGATTGCAGCTTGTGTTGGCCTAAAAAGAGTAATGGACATTTTAGAGTAGGGGGGATCAAATAAAAAGAGGCGTTTCCGTGCAAAGTGTGAACGGTTACACTTTTTCCACACTGTGTTGCACTTTTGCATGTTGCTGCGCTTTTTCGCGGTGGCAAAAAACATCATTTTATTTACGAAATTGTAACCACGCTTCTAATCAAATTTAGTGCATTGTTGGCTCATTTTGAACCATTTTCAGTTGTCCCCCATCCCTTCCGGCAACCTCTCTATTCCTCTCGGTAAGATATAAGGAAATTGTCCTAAATAGGACTAATGATGAGTTCCTAAAAAGTACAAATAGGACTACTACTTTTCAAATTCCCTAAATAGGACAAAACATTGATTTTATGCCCTAAATACCCCTAAGAGTATTAATTCATAATGAAATGCTTTAATTCATAATAAAATCATAAAAAATGTAAAAATATTTAAAACAAAACGTTAAAAAATTATAAAATATTTATATAAATTTATAAAATAAAAAATATATTTTTTAATTTTTTCTAATTTTTTTTAAAAAATAATAAAAAATAGTAAAAACCCATAAAAAAATGAAAAAAAAATTATGGATACCTTTTCCACCGCCTCTCGCCGCCTCCCACAACCACCACCTCCGATTGGTGAAATTTCTTCCACTTTTGGTAAAAAAATGTCATCTTTTTCTGAAAATGCCAAAAAGATGGCATAATTACTCTTCAATATGCCAACATTTTCATTGAATATGCCATCATTATGGCATTATTTGAAATGTTGGCATATTTTTCTCCGGTGATGGGAGCTGATGGTGCTTGGGTGGCAGGGGTGGTAATGTGTTTTTTTTTTATTTTACGATTTTTTTTATTATTTTTTTAAATTTTTCTAAAAAATATTTTTGAAAAATTTTTTGAAAAATTATTTTTATTAATTTTCTATTATTTTTTTATGATTTCTAGTGTTTGTTTTGATTTTTATTAATTTTTTTATGATTTTATTATTAATTAAAACATTTCACAAGTTACAAGGGTATATTTGTCCAAATACACATAAATAGTCCTATTAAGGGAATTTAAAAAATGTAGTCCTATTTGTGCAATTTTGCCACTTTTTAGTCCTATTTAGGGAATTGACTCTAAGATATACTCCAAACTTTTTGTACTGCACATGTATTTCGGGAAAGAATAACTCAAATGAAGTGTTTGATTAAACAAGGTTTGAATAAATGGAAATTTCAATTTATATTTCCAGAGTAAAAACAATATGATATTTCAAAATAGATGTATTATATTTCTCTCCTAAATAGAAATAATTAATGTTATTGTATGTTGAAATTGTATTGTCATTTTTTGACATTCTAAACGTTAATATGTCACTATTAATGTCATAAGAGAAAGACAACAACTGCTTTTATTTAGGGGAGATTATGATACTTATATTTTAATTAGAATATTATTTCTTATATTGTTTTACTCCTAGGGTTATCGGCCGATAACCCTACGTTTAGCTTTGTCCTCCTTCGAGTCGAAGTGCGCGTTGTTGTTGGGTTAGGATTGGAGGTGAGGGGCGGTTAAGGGGATTGGGTAGTTAGACGGTTGGGGTGGTAGAGGCGATTGGAAGGTTTCGTCGGGGGTGGTCGTTGATTGGAAAAGGAGACGTTGGGGTTCGGCTATATTAACGAAGCAGGGCGTATCGGGTTGAAGCAAAGCAGTTGGCTTCATGGAAAATATGGTTGATAGATACAAAAGCATGGCGATCGGCGAAGAAGAGGAAGAAATCAATCTGGATGATGGAGGGGCCGGGGATCTTCCAGCGGAGGAGATGGCGGTGGTTTTTCCGGTGCTTGGGCAGGTGCTGACCGATCGTCAGGTTCGTTTTGTGGAGCTCAAGGAAAAGATGACTGCCCTTTGGAGGCCTGAGAAAGGTATGACAGTTAAGGAAATTGGAGAAAAAAGGTATTTATTTTCCTTTAATCATCGTATTGATTTGAAAAGGGTTCTGGATTGGGGCCTTTGGTAGTTTGAACGTAGTTTAATTTTGCTTAAAGAGATTATGTCTGATGATATACCTCATAAAATCACTCCGAATAAGGCAGAATTTTGGGTCCAGATTCATAATGTCCCTTACAGCCTAGTTAATTAATCTCGGCACTTGATGGACAGTCTACCCGGGGGGTGTCTTATCCGAGGGGTTATTACAGGAATAACTAGAGAGAAGTCAGAGCAAAATAGGAGGAGAGAGAGTCGATTTATTAAATAGTCGATTTATTAAATGAACTCAACATGGTTTACAAGGAGAATAAGGGCTGCTATTTATAGCAGCAATAAATGCGATGAGAGTACATGTGTCAGTAATCCAACGGCCGAAGGGTCACATCAATCGGGTGGCACCGGCAGTGGCATGTTCACCGCATTGAATGCGGTTGGTGGATGTGATGTCGCATTAAATGCGGTGGTTGGCTGTCTTCAAAAGGAATCTTCGATGATTGAGCATGCTTGGCCGAAGGCTCCTCGTGTAACCGAGGGCTCCCTGTGTTTGCCGAAGGCTCTGTGCGCCCGGAGGCCTGGTTCAGCCGAGGGCTTTCTCGATGCCGAGGGCTTGACAATGCCGAAGGCTCCTGTTTTCCGCCGTTTTTCCTCCAGTAGCTTCGTACGCCCAAGAAAGCTATCATGTGGGTTTTGGAGCCTTCGACCAAAGAGGCCGAAGGCGCCCCAGTGTGTATTCTGGGTTTCTTTGAGGTTTGGGCCGTCGCATTTGGGCCTGAGTTGTTCTCTGGGCTCACTGGACTTGTGCAGGAGAAGTAGGAGTCTATGGGCCGGGGGTTCCTGGGCCATATACTCCATCAGCACTGCTAGAAGGGTTGGGAGTTTTCTAGGGGAATTTGTTAAATATGATGATCATCAGAAAAAAGAATAATTAGACCCTTATATGCGGGTTAGGGTTATAATGGAGATGGATAGATCTTTGAAGAAGGGGACAAATCTGAAAAAAGAGGGCAAAAGTTTCAGGGTGGGCTTTAAATATGAACGACTACCCATCTTTTGTCTAATCTGTGGTATGGTTGGCCACTCAGATAATTTTTGTCCCCTGAATTATGAAGAAGGTTTGGTTTTGGAAAAAAGATATGGATCTCATCTTAGAGCAGGTAGCGGGGAAGATCAGCCCCACAGGAGGGAAGATTCATTCCCTGGAGGGTTCATCGAGCTCTGGCAAATCGGGTGCCATTCCGGAAAAGGTGGCAGGGATGGATTCAGCTCAAAGCTTCACACAAGGAGATGGGACACATAAGGAAGAAACCTCTAAAAGAAGGAAGATCTGGGAGGTTCGGTCAGAGGAAGATCAAGAGGAGAATACCATGGCTACTGACGGGGCAAAAAACGGGGAGGAGGCGGGCTTAGTTCCTTAAGCCCGCCGAATGCACTGGTTGAAGGTGTGCGGCCGACTGGGAGCGGCCTGGTTCTCGCTTTCTGGCATCTTGAAGGACGCCTTTTATTCTGTTTTATTTTCTGTTTTGTTAACCTTAGAGTTTGTTGTTGGTTTTGCTTCTGTTTTAATGTTCTGAATTGTAAGACACTAGTTTTGGATGTGGGGGATGAGAGGAATTTGGTAACCGAGTTAGGCTTAATGTTTCCCGGTTATGGATTAGCGAATTATATTGCTGCGGCGATTAGTTCCGAGTCTGGTTCGAGAGATGACTGTTATCAATTTTCTTTTTGTCAGTTGACTCATAGTCAGAGCTTTTATTTGTTATTTATCTAAGCCGATTTCAATCAAAAAAAAATGAGGGCCGGATTTTGGATTTGTCGAAGGTCACGAGTCACAATGAAAAAATTAAACAAATTTAGTATGCATATTGGAAGTGCTATTGTAAAAAATCAAGAACATCCTATTATTAGGGGTGGGAAAAACGGAACCGAAACCCGGAAACCGACCCTGGACCGACCCGAATTATGATCCTGGTCCGGGTTTTTCTTTTTAACTAGCCCGAATTAAAAAAAAACGGACCGAACCCGAAATTCCGGGCTCATTAACCCGACCCGTACCAATAAAAACCCGAAACAATTAGCTTTAATATAAAATTAAATAATATATGAATATAAATTTATAAATATTTCCTAATATATGATTATAATCACGGTGGATAAAAAATAATTTAGTAACTTTTAGTGACTACAAATATGTTGAATGTGTTTAGCGTAATGACCATGAAAATATATTTTTAGCAAGTCTGGTCACATTTTTATCTATAAATTTTATTTCATAATATATTTATAGCAAGTCTAGTCAAATTTTATTCGCATTGAATTTTATTCTGGAGCTCTAATTTACTCTCAGAATCAGTATTTTTAGAAGCTGGGGGTACCAGCTTCTGAAAAGTGGTTTTGATTCTGCTTCTGTTTTTAAAAAAGAAGCAGAAGCAGAATCAGTTCCAAACACCCCCTCTGTATTCTTTACTTATATTTTTTATGATTTTGAGTTTATATGTACTACCTCCGTCCCTTTTATATTGGGACGGAAAAGGGTGGCACGAGTTTTAAGAAAAGTGGGTTTGTGTAGTTGATATTAATGGATAAAGTAAGAATAAAGTAAGAATGATTTTGAACCACACAAACTTTACCAATATGGTATGAGACAATTTAAGTGGGACAATATAAATGGGACGGAGGGAGTAATTGTTTTTTGTATTCATTTTTTGCATCTTGGTATGTGTCTGAACTTCGTGGCTCCTAATTTTTTTCTGTTAAAATGATCCGATTTTCAAGAATTAAAATTAAAATTGTGTCTTTATCAGGAGATTTCTAGTTGAAATGTGTGAGAACCTGATCGGCAGTCTTAACGATTTCAGAAACGTAGATGACGACGTGTGGGGTATGAAGTTTTCACATATGTGATGGCTTTTAAGAAGTCTTAAGGGTAAATATGTAAAAGTAATTAATTTGGGTTGTGTTTAGTAAAAAAAAAAGGGGCTGTATTTAGAATTAACCTTGATAGGGTGGGTCTGATTTCTAATTAAGGAAAATATTGAGGGAAGGCCTGGCCCTAGGCCCAATTCTTCCCTATAAAACTCAATGGAGCCTTTTGACCCGAAGACTTAGGCCTATCAGCTGTAGCCTCAACCTTTCCGGTTCGGGTTGGTCACCAACTGAAATCTCCCCATGTCTTAGCACGGACGCGGCCAGGATTCTATTATAGGGGGTTTACCTTTATTCTTAAATAGATACAACATGTAAAATTTTACATTGTTCGTGTGTTGTACTCTGAAGTCATTTTATTTATTAATGTATTTAAAATTTTATTTTTAAAAAATATTGTTAAATTCCTCTAATTTTAAAATGTTCAAAGTCCGAATTATTTTATGCCGGTACATAAAATTTTGTGTACATTATCTGATACATAATCTCATTTAAATTTTGATTTTTTAAATTCCTCTAATTCCCATTTTAAAAAAATTCTACTTTGAATTGTGTACTTATTTTTTTTACAAAATCCCTCTACAATCTAATACATTATCGATCACCAAAATTGTGTGTTGATAAACGTGAAAATGAAAACGTTACAACTAAAAAAGAACTAAAATGAACTAAAATGAAAGATGGAAGTATATTTCAGTTCTAAACTTTGATTTGCGATGAGAGAGAACAAGTTTTCCAGTCATATGTACCATTGTATCGATGTATCGAAACAAATAGATTTGACATAAAATTTGGCTAACAATGAGAGGGATCGAAGAAGACCCTCTTGCAAATATTAAGAGCTTCATGTTACCCTCTAGTCTCTGTTCCCATCTGAGCCCCTCAATCAGGAATAACCTACTACCCCTTTCATGGCACCCACATCCGAAAAACTCCTAATTAACTTATATGATTATCTCGAGTGCCGTTCTTGTCCAGCCGGCCTGACGGGATGCTCCGTCCGGTCGAGGGCATTTCGGGCACTTTCCGGTGGAATTTTTTGAAGAAATTTTTTGAGCATGTTCTTCATGAAGTCTAATTTATCCATACCAAATTTCAGCTCAAAATTCGATCGGGAAGGCATTCAAATAATTTTGTGAAGTTAACTGGGCAGTTTATATGTATGAACTGCCCAGTTAACTTCAAGAAATTATTTGAGTACCTTCCCGATCGAATTTTGAGCTGAAATTTGGTATGAATAAACTAGACTTCATGAATAACAAGCTCAAAAATTTCATCAAAAAATTCGATCGGGAAGTTCCCGAAATGCCCTCAGCCGGACGGCGGTTCCCGTCAGGCCGGCTGGACATGAAAAGTCCTCTGATCATCTCCTAACTTTCAATGGAACTCTTCCATCTATTCTTCTTTTTCTTGTATTTCTTATTGTGTTTCTATTTTTCACATAGGAAACAGGTTGGAGGAAGAAAATCCAAGAGGGGAGATGGACTTTATTAGAAATCGAAACAGAAAAACAAATAAAGAGTGTCACATTAGTAGCAACACAAGCGTGTACCTAAAAATTGGCTATTCGTACACTTCTTATATCCACCCTTATACTCACTCCTCTGAGAGGCTAATTTTTTATTTGTGAAACCTGTCAACGGAGAAAACAGACATGTTTTTATTTTTGAAGAAGTCCACATTGTCAATATGTGGGTACAAACAGAATTTTCCAAGATTTGGTAGATGACAATCTAAATCATTAATTTTGGATGGTTTTCACAACTTTGAGCATTAATTGGGACATTGGGAGTTTTTTTAATTGAGTACTTAAACGTCACTTTTAATTATAATATAATGACCTATTTAGTATTTGACCACTTTATCTAATTAAAATGATGGTCCCAAGTAACATCATTACTTAAAAAGTTCAATATGGCGAAATTTTGTAGGGCGCAAGTACTATTCGTTTTGAAAAATGCTAGAACACTTGTGTTCTTGACACAATTATAATTGATAACAAAGAAAAAGTGGAGCAAATTATAAAGAACTTCATACTCTGTATTAAAGGAAATGGATCAAATAAGATTAAACTTTATTTGGAATCACCGTGGATTCCTATTATCAACATCTTTAGGTAAGAACACATTTAGAACCGTTTCAGTAAGGTAAAAATGTGGCTGAACTTTTGAAGTTGAAATTGCTTAATTATGAAAAATATATACTACCTATTTCAATACGATGTTTTTTATAATTAAAATTAAAATATACAATACATGCTTGACTCACCCCCCACCCCCACCCCCCGTGTAGACGGTGTAGTCCTGTAACTTCATGGTTGACACCACTCTTGCCTAAGATGACGGCCCCAACCAGCTGCACCCCTTCCACAAATAAATCATGAAATGTACAGAAAGGGATCATCTTTGTACTTTGAGTACAGAGGAAGCTCAAGGGCCTCCTCTGCAATTCTTCCATCCTCGCGAATCTTTGCAATCAAGCTCTCAAGCGATGAAAAGTTAGCCTATCATGTCATTATAGGTGTTATAGATAATCTGCAAGTTAAAAATGCATTTGCAATATTAAAGTCATGTAATTCTTAATATATACTACCTCAGGTCGTATATATCCGACAATAACAAGATGTAATTCTTCCCCATAGAAGTCCTCACTGAATTCATGTAGCAGCCATGGCTCCTGAAAGAACATCTTTTATTTTTAGATTTTCTCCTTTTGCTAAACAAAGGTATGTGTATACACTTATATACTACGTATTACGTAGTACTTGGTAGAGTATGCATAGCGTTATACACTTATACTCCGTAGTCCGTACTATTTAAATATGTATCACACTCACTATGGTCTTTTCGGTGTTATTGAAGTACGGGTTCCAACCAATGCTCATGACCATTTTGTATATACCACGAGTAGATAAACCAGCCCACCCAAAATAAACACCTGATGGATGTTCTGATAGCAGATCTGAGTAACCCTTGGTGGATAAATTAGCTGAAAATGTTGTATTAATAACTTATCAGTAATGGTACTGTTTTCTACTCCGCTATAAGAAAATGTAGCATGGATTCTCTAATTCATCAGCTTTGACATTTCAGTGTACATAATTACATTGAAATGAATAAATCTCACTTTAGGCTCTCCCACTATAGTACCGAGTATTATTTCCAATTCTAATCGCTGACTCTAATTTCTTCCACCTATACTCCTCGGGTTTAAAAAATATTACACTTTTGTCCAAACATTAAGAGTATCCTCAAATGTAGTGTGATTAAAAATGTTCAAAATGATGGATTTTTGAAAAAATATGAACTACAAATATCATACTTCAGCAACCAGGTACTTAAAGAAGAATTTAAATTTAACTATCAAAAGTAAGAATGTCACTATAGGTCTATAGCTGAAGGACGAAATGCAAAATTCACCCTCAAAAAGTAGTACTTAAAAGTTTATGGCAATTATATACTTATACACCCAAAGACAAGTATTGCTTGAAAAATTTTAAAAAAATGATAAAGTACCAGTTGGGATACCAAGAACCTTTGATCCACGCCCAAAACCCCTAATGACGGGTCCACCAATTTGCCAAGTGTCTATTGGTAAAGTTCCTTCTACCCCTGCATTAAAGCTTTTCTGTCACATACACTGAAACATTACTTAATACGTAGTATATGCATAAACGTTTAGAGAAACTTACAATCTTGAAATGCAGGCAGGCCCCACTTTTCTGGATGCAAATCAAGAAGTGAATTGATAACCTCATCAGCTGAACTGTATAAATGGGACTGTTTAGGAAGGGATGGTACGGCAACCACTTCCATTCCAGCAACCTTACCCGCAGTAATACCAGGTCTGACACAGACACCATTCTATTAGACAAACTAATACAGTAGTAGTTAAGTAGTTCACAAGCATAAAATTTTATTGCTGATTCTTCATCAAAATGTATTGGTGTTAGAGGTATGATTATTATAGTTTCGATTAACATAATCAACACTGAAAAAATGTGTGGCAAAATTTTACAACCCGGTCCTTTCTGTCGTAATCTCCGTGCAATAGAATAATGAGATGAAACTACAAAATACAAACCTGTCATCATCATAGGTTATTCCCACTTGAGGAAAAAATTCAAGGAAAGTCATATAATTCATATATTATATGCTGTATGTCAACTAATTTAGTGCTGACAAAAGCAATTACTTCAAAGCTTATAACTAATACGGAGTATGTTATTTGGTGTTAGGCACAAATATAATCCTAACATGCTGTTTTACATTAACTTGCATTATTATAGTTACATATTTGAGTACCTCAATAAATGTCTTACACTCCCACCCATTTAAAGAAGAAAACTAGGATACCATGTAGCTTGATCATCATATACTTACAATGAATCTTCAATGACAAGGCAACTGGACGGATTTACACCAAGCCGCTTTGCTGCTTCAAGAAAACTTGAACAAGAGGAGAACAAAAAATAGGACACCAGATGAGCATAAAATGATGTAAAGCATCTGAATAAGAAATATCAGATCATATACATTTCAGGATTTGGCTTTCCCGTTTTAACTTCATCACCCCCCACAATAGCAGAGAAGGACTCCCTCCAACCTATTGCAAGTAAATATACTCTAAAATAAGCAATTCCATTCGCATTCTTGATAACCCATATTTTCATTATTACATGACCACCTTATGTGACAGACAAGAAAAGGGCTTTGAATTTACACGGTTCAAGCATCAATTACCTTTATGATACGAAATTTTTGTCTCAATGTTTGACTTCGGAGAATTAGAAGCCAAAGCTATTAGCACACCATGACTCTTCAAATGATCAATCAATCGATAGGCACCTGGAAGAGCTTTAATATTGGACCACCTACAATTTAGTATTAACAAGCATTATTACAACCTACGTTCAACATTACTTGCCTCGCTGACTTATCACATAGTAAAGTACTCAGATTTGACTTACGCTTTGAAAAAAATGCTCTGTAATTACATATTATGGGATTGTATGTTAAAGATTATGGGACTGTATGTTAAAGTAGAAAGTGTTCGTGAGATTTTTTTATAAAAAAGTTATACGTCAATTTGTGATAGGTAAACTTTTGAGTTAATTATGATTCAGATTTCAGACTTTCTAGATAATCTGATGAACTTTATGCTCAGAGGCTGGAAACCTTCAAAAAAATACAAGCCTCAAAATAAAGCAAATTCATGTATGGTACCTCTCTGAAAACATTGGAGTAATTTGTGAAAGAAAATCTTCTTTAGTTAAGGGAATCTCATATTCTTCAACAACCACAGCCGCAGCTTCCGCAGGTGTCTTTCCTACTATTTTGTGAGCTTCTCTGCCATCCCATTGCTTTCCACAGTTAGCCAGAAACACTTTTAGGATATCCGTCACAATGCCATCTGTAAGAAAATCAAGCGAACGGGTGCTCATGAAGCAAAAGGAGAAGATAGCGAAATCTCAAGAAGTAAAGGGAATGATACTCCAGAAACATTTCCTACATCACTAAACCAAATCCAAAGTTATCAAAGATGTTAAGGTCGAGCGATGTAGATCATATAATATCCTGCAAGGAAATTGTTATTTATTTCTCATTGCATGGATTTCAAATCAGATTATGGGGGTGTTTGGATCCTCTTTTTTTAAACTGTTTATGCTCCTTCAATAAGTAAAAGCAGATATTGGAGTGTTTGGGTAAAAGTGCGAAAGTACTTCTAAGTGCTCCAAATTGCTCCTAGAAGCAGTTTTTGAAAAGCTGGGGTAGACAAACTTTTCAAAACTGATTCTAATTCTACTTCTACTTTCAAAAACGAAGCAAAATCAATTCTGAACACCCCTATACCCCTCTTACTCTATTCATCCTACAAAATGATGTGTTAGATCAAGGTTAGGCATGTTAATGGGTCAGAGCGGATAGTCCAAAACCCAGGCCCACCCTGTGACTCTACTGCATGGACCGGACCCATGACCAGCAACGAGAGTCATTAAATGGTGTCCAATGACCTGCACCATGCAAGGCGGTCCACCAGACTCGACCGAATCCAACTAGCTAGCTTATGTTATCTATGTGTGTGGCCATAACTCAAATTTACATAATGACTTTTACCAAATTATATTATGGAGTATGAAAAAAACATATGTAATCAAATAAACTAACAGGACAACAAAAAGTGTCAAAATTGAGAAATATGACCTAGACTTGAATGGTTAATTTATTTATTATCATAGATGACTATATGAAGTCCTAATACTACGTACAACGGTATAACAAAGGTGTTTGACAATTAACTATTCATCTAGCTCAAATAAAAACATTATTATAATACAAGACTAAATAATTTATGAAATATTATACATTTATACACACATGTATATGTATATATAAATGCAAAAAAAGATGTTATGTATAAACATGTTTATAAAATACCAAGTAATTTAAAAAAATGTATTTGACCCTCCAATATTTATACATATTGGAGGGGCAAGCCGGGCGGCAGGGTCAATACTGATACCCTGACCCGCCCCTTCCTGTGCAGAGAAGGCCGGAGGTCCCAGATCAGACGCGGTTGAATGACAAAGCAAGCCAAACCCGCCCACCTCAAGTGTCCTATCGGCTGTCAGGCAGGTTAGCTCAACCAAGATACAAGCTTAGCGGTCAGTTTTTTTGCCAGTGCCTAATTAAAGTACAACTCTTTTGTCAACTCAACCAAGGCACTAACTTATACCCTACATTTTTTCATTCGTCTCCAGAATGTTTGGTAAAGACTAAAGAGTATTGATTGAGCTAATTTTCACGTAACTTATTTCCAAATTTGTTTAGACTAAAACCACTTGTTCCTGGCTTTACAGAAATTTACCTAAGTTGACTTTTCAATCAGACTCTTTTTGGGGGGACTATATGATGTTGGATCATAAGAACCCCTCGGAAGAAGGGATCAATTGTATAGTCCGCTCTGGCTCATAGATTAATAAAATCATTGTGTTCATCTTTCGCTAAATACATACAAATGAAGAATGCAAATCACCTGTATTGATAAGTGTACCATCCAAATCAAGGATAACACAAGATACTAACTTCTTCAAGGGTTTCACCACTGACATAGTGAAGAACGTCAATCGTCTCAAAGATTGGTACTTCACTGCCTATGCAAAAAGAATTACGAGTGAATAGAGAGGAACCCACAAAGATCATACGGAGTAATTTATTGGAAGTATGTTATATGTACGCAGTATATTCCTTTTCTTTTCTCTCTTGTCATGTCTAGGCTCCGTATTTTATTTGGACAACTTAAATTCTAGAGAAATATTTTCTTTATTGAAATAAGTTAATCTTACTTCAAAACAAAATTGTTCATTTTGATGTGGTGTAGTTTAACTTAAATTTATCTTTATAAATGTATTCTAATCTAATGAATATTGTATTGATTTTATTTCTATATTATGTGTTATGTGCATTTTATTTTATTGTGTTATTCTAAAATCTTGATGGGATTCATGTTCAATTTGCGTGTTTTAAGACTATATCAAGTCCAAGTGAACATTATTACTATTAGTCGATTACATTCAAAATAAACAAAATGGATGATGATGTCAAAATACTCGATTACTATATCAAGTCCAACATCACCCGATCCGACCCATTTCTATCCAATAAATGGAAACTACTTTTGTTACTATTTTGTTGTGATCAATATCACTCTGTATTACTTTAAACTCTTGTTTATTTATTTGTTTGGTTTTTTTACTATATAGCATTATTTCAAAATGAAAATTAATAAACAAGGCCAGGATAATGTGTTACTCTCTCCGTTCCTTATTAACTGTCCATTTAGTTTTCTTGTGGTTTTAAAAAAACAGGAGTGGTATAGAAAGTGTAGGCTACACTAAATGAAAAAGTAAGAAAACAAATATATGAAGAAGATAAACAATGAAAAGTATGAAAGAGAATGCAATTTGTAAATATTATGAACTCCAACAAAGATATTATTGCCTACTAATTCTCCACCGTCAACCAGGTAGTCTTTTGATCTTGTAGCATATATATATATATATATATATATATATATATATATTACATAAAAGATTGTGAACTAATGAGCTATGGCAGCATTAGTCTTGTAGCCTCGCAAGCTGACAACATATTACTCCCTCCGTTTCACAATTTAGTTACATGTTGATTTCATAAAGACTAAGGGGGAAAAAATTCTGAGGGACAAAGTACACTGTTTTGACACTGTATTGCACTGTATGACACTATTTTGCACTGTTTTGTACTGTATTAATATAGATTTCTTTCCTAAATAGGAAGTGTGACTTTTATTTTTGCACATCCAAAAAAGGAAAGTGTGACTTTGATTGCGAAACGGAGGGAGTACAAGATAATGTAGTTTCACAACCTCCTCCATCACAAATTCCGAGGATAGATTGTGAATCTGAACACAAAAATCAGCACGACTTAGTTCCACTTTAAATGGCCTATCAGTCCGCCCGATGCCCGAGTCGGCCCCACCATCCCCCGAAACACCCGGTTGATATCACCTTCGTGGCTTCGTGGTTGTAATGGGCCTCTTTAAATCCATTACCGGTGTATTGGATAATTCTGCCAATGAAAAGTTCAATAATATTGGAAGTCGCACACTGGGGCTAAAGGCATGACTTATTCACAAATGCGAAGGGGGGTTAATTTCACACACTAAGTGAGATCAAACTATCTTATCGACCAATATTCATTCATTTGTGCACCTGCATTGGCTTTCCAGTTCTCTTCAAGCCTTCGTTGACTTCTGAATTGAGTTGTGAAATTACAAAATGATTTTACCTCCACGAAACAGCGCATTTAAATGAAACCATATACAAATATCAAAATACAAACCATTTGTTTCATTGCATACCTATTACCTACAATTACTTTGGCTTCAAAACAGCCAAATTACACAGTAAAGATATCAATCACACTGTACTTACTGGAGTCTATTATCTTAACAACATCAAACTTTGTTGGATGAAAATTGATTGCTGTTGAACTTTGATCAGGCGTGAGGAACCTCCACAGGTAACCTTGACCAAGCCATTGAATCTCTGAACCTATAACTCCTCTTCACAGCCAAACTTGCTGCTATTACCAGCAAGAGAACTGCAGCAGCTAACAGCGGAAGGGTAAAACCGACATTCCTTCTCCCCCAGTTCCTTAAGACATAACCCGCACACACCTCGCCATCAAAGCTACCCATCGAGTTGTTAATCTTCATGACCTCAACTCCGTTAAGAATCGCATCCACAGCTCGTGTCAAGCTCATATTGGATGGCCCCACACTAACGGACAGAATACCAGAAATGCCCCCGTCAACAACAAAGTCGGCATAAAATGGTGATGCCAGCATACCACTGGTGATCGTAGTGAGATCCATGTTTTCATATGCCAAGTATCCGTTAACATAGACATTGAAATACAGCAAACCACGTGCAAGGCTACTAATATCACAAAAGTGTGTTCGCACCAAGTACTTAAAACCCTCATCCACCGGAAATGCCCATGAGATGTTCCTGTCCGGTATAGAGTCATCTAGACTTTTTATTATCCGTGCCGTGTTATACATATTATCGGGGCCCACTTCTCGGCTCGCCCCTCCGATATGGTATTGTATATGACCACCATAGTAGACCTTTGAAGAGACATCACTGGACTTCAAGAGATACTCATCATCAGGAAGCCAAGTTCTCCAGAGAGAGTCATTGAAAGGGGTTACTTTCTTGCCTCCCACATTAATTCTATATACAGTTTCTAAGGCGCTTTTTAACATGCCACTAATAGGCTCGTTTTTCTCAAAACTAACATACTGAGCCACATCTGCAATCAAATCTTTTGGAGCTGAGATAACTTCAATGGCATTGACAAATGCAAATTTCAATTTTCCCACAGGGCCGAAGGTGATCACTAGCTTATCCGAATCAACCCTAATTACGTAGTCTTTGATCACCGCGAAATTCCAAGCAGTTTCAATGCTAGAACTATTGAACAATAGATATTCATTCGCCAAAACGTAAAACTGGGCATTTGAGTAATCGAGGCCCGCGTTGAGTACCTGGAAATGGAGGCGTACCAGATGAGCACCCGGATCTCGGATGCGGAAAACGTACTTCGATGGTTGGGTGAAGACCCGACCCGTGTGGTAGATCGGGGATGTTCCGGGAAGAGGGTTCGAGTCGGCTAGTAAGACCGACTTGGATGGAGAAAGCAGAGGCGAATTGGAGTTCGACGGCCCGTCTCCGTCGAAGCGGCGGTGGTCCAGGTCGACGGTGCTGCCGTGGGACCCGCAATTGATGAGGTAGTGGTCGACAGGGGAGAAGGATGGGGAGACGAGAGTGAAAAGTAGGAGAAACGTAGAAACAAAGAGTGCCAAGGGCAGGTTGAGTGCCTCCATCCCGGTGATGATGGAAGCTTGAAGTAAAGTTCTGGACTTTGATTTCGTTTCATCAATGGAAAATATGGGCTGATGATACGCGGGGGAATGGGCAACGCGCTTCTACAGCTGGACTGCTAGACGCAGACCCACGCCCACCAACTTGCCAACTTATAAGGCATCGTTGTTGGTGGGTTTGACTTTTGAGGGGTGTTTGCGATTGTTTCTGCTTAAAAACACATTTTTTGACATGTAAAGAAAAAGTGATTAGTAGTAAAAGTTGATAGTATTTGAGAAAAAAGAAATTTTTGAAAAGTAAAAATTGGTAATATTTGGTAAAATAAATTCTTTTTGTGTAATCGAAAAGGGAAAAACATTTTTCACACGCAAGCCGAGAAAAAGTGAAAATTGGTAGTGTTTGATAAATAAATGCTTTTTTAAGCCAAAAACTGAGAAGTTTTTTTTTTAAGTTATTGCAAGCACTCCCTGAATTTAAAAAATGTTACTCCCTTCGTCCTGCTAAGATTGTCTCATTTTACTTTTTCCGGTTCATCCCACTAAGATTGTCACATATCGTATTTGGTAAAGTTTGTGTGACTATAATTCAATCTTACTTTATTCTTACTTTAACAATTCAATATCAACCACATAACCCATTTTTTATAAATTTGCGTGTCACTTCCTTTTGTCTCATTGTTAGTGGGACGGAGTGAGTAGATGTGTACGCATTTGACACCTGGTATTAGGCTTTGTTTGTAAACATTATTCAGTTTTTGAAATTTTTAAAGTGATTTGGGAAAAATTATTTAATGGTAAAAGTTGGTAGTGTTTGAGAAAAAATGATTTGAAAAGTAAAAATTGATTTTGTTTGGTAAAATAAGTGTTTTGTGTAATACAAAAACTAAAAAGTAGATTCTAGCTTTTAGCTTTTGAGTATTACCTAGTTTATTACCCGTACGATGCACGGGAATAATTACCTCCACTATAAAATTTAATTTAATTATGAAAATTTCCATATTATGACACCTATTAAGTTATTGTGAATAAATAATGTAAAACACAATAAATGTAAGTAATTGAGCTCATAACATATATCAAAAGGAGATTAAAACATATGAGACAATAAGAGGAAATTGCCTCCTTTGAATCTTGAAAGGCAACCTCACATCCGACGGTGTCAAAAACATTCTAGTTATCAACACTTTTTGACCTGCACTTATCCCAGTCAAAACTTTTGCTTCCAACACGGGATTGCCCAATCTAGTGATAATCATCCTAGTTCCATTACACAACCACTGAGAATGGTCTATATTTCTCATAAGCAGAATTGGTGTCCCTACTTTAAGATGCAATTGGCGATTTGGAACTCCTGAAGCTTTACTTCCATTTAAAAACTTTGGAATGTGAATATCAACCAAGAAATCAAGATTTGCATCTCACTGGCATGGACTATCTGAACTCAAATATGTTCTCAACTCAGAACCATCTAATGTGAGCATATAATCATTGATAGAATCATAGGATCAACAACATCAAGGGTTGGTGTCAGTATTGCTCTTTTTTCAAATAACTCGGATCATGATCAACGGTACCCAACTCAGGATAAGACACACGAGCGCGCGCACTCGCACACCCACACGCACGCACGCGCACACCCACACGCACCCGCACCCACAACCACACCCACACACGCACGCGCACGTGTGCGCACCCACACGCATGCACACGCGCACGCGCGCGCACCCACACGCACACTCACCCACACCCACACGCGCGCACACCCACACCCACCCACCCACCCACACCCACACACGCGCGCACGCGTACGCGCACCCACCCACACACACACGCACAGTATGTGTGTGATCCTTGGTTAAGATTTAAGCAATATTAAATATGAATGAGAGAGATGATCATGAATTTATAAGGAAAGTGTGCAATATTTTGACTAATCAAGGATAGAACCGTAAAAGAGCAATAGACGGTTGGCACTTGGCACACCCATACTGTTCTTGCTACCATCTTACCGTGAAACTCGCACCTAACAATAGCAACACACGATTTGAAAAAGAAAGCTTCAGATATTTTCCTTATTTAAAAGCCAACACACAATTCACTTTGTAATAATCTCAAATTATGGTGTATGAAATTGTCTAACACTATTATTATATCCTAATAGGTGTAATGCATTGTTCACTTGGAGAAATGCATTTCCAAGTAAAAATAATAATAACGTAATCATGAAAATATTTGAATGAATAAAATATTTAACTTGGGAATCATTTAAGGGCATTGTAAAAGACCATTTTGAGGATGATATTATAAAAAATAATGATGATGAAGCGCACAATGGGTATTGACTTCGTACACTAAAATTTAATATGAAAGTGCATTCAGATATTATTACGCATTTTTGATAAATTTAGTATGCACCCAAATAAATTTAAAGTGCACCAAAGATAATGTAAACGTGCATTGAGAAATGAGGTATATATACATTATGGAAAAATTTATTATGCACCAAAATGTATTTAACGTGCAATATATATTCACATAGTTTAATGTTTAAAAATATGTTTTATGTGGATCATTCTATTATGCATTTCATTTGAGTTATTGTGCACTTCTAACATTGAGGTACACATTTTGTATTTGATTTACGGTTGTTCTATAATATTCAAATACATTTATAGAATACTTTGATATATATTTCTGCACTTTTTGGTACAACTAGCCATACTTTTGATCGAAGGGTGTTAAACTTCTCTACGTGCACTTTTATTTATATTGATTTTCACTTTTAATATTACAATCTAACTCGTTCATTTGCATGTGAGTCATTGTGCACTTTTCCAGCAAATGTTAAATGAATTTTTATCATACAATTTATATGCACATTTCTTGTTTCACGATGCACTGAAATATTTTACCGAATGTACCTTGTTGGATAATTGATACCCATATTGTATAAACAGAAGAAATTGAACAAGAGTGAAGAAGAAATGATGAAGAAGAAGGAAATGTGTATAGAATGAGCATTGGTTATATGAGTTACAAGCCTCCTATAAGGAGTATATATAGGGAAAATCCGGGTCTGGACCTCTAATATGGGCCTGACAGACCCGGTTACATAAATGGACTGATAGTATATAAAGCTAATCTAGAACATCTGAATAATAATAATGTACAATAATATTAATGGTATCCGCTAAACGTGTGTGGGCCGTTGTCCAGGCCTAGTAGTCGGCATACCGGGGGTCGGAGTCCATATAATCAATCAGGAGTCCCCCCACTCCCTGAGTCGAGAGTACTCGAGGCGAAAGGGAGTAGTCCAAACTGTATCTGCAACGCTCTTCCTCTTCGGCCGGGGGACCACCACCCTTGTCCATTATGGGGAGGTGCCTCGTTAAAAACCTTTACTAGGAAAAACCCAGTGGGAAAAAATCCTAATAAAGGGAAAAAGAGTACACCTAGCGCCCCCAACATGAAACAAGGAAGGTAAATCCCCTCCGGCATAATCAATCTAGCTCAGCTCCTCTTCAACTGACTCAGCTCTCGTTCCTGCTCTTGCGTGATGTTTTCTGCTCATCTAGAAACTCTGACCCCTCAGTCCCCCAGTCCCCACTCTTTGAGGCGAGTGGAGACGAGGTGAAAATGAGTAAAGTCATCTTCGTACCTACACATTTATCATACATATAAAAAAAAATTATTGGGATTTATGTTCCCGATCAAGAGTTCGTCACTTGAAACAGGTGGAGATGTGAATTGTTAATGTAATGATAAAATACTTAGTAGAATGGATGTGTGAGCCATTCGTAAGCAACGGTCGCCACTCGAGGAATGACTAAGACCGGTCTTCGTACCCGACTTGGTCGGGGTTTTGTCTTCATGCCCGACTTGGTCGGGGCTTTGTGCCTGAGGAGACAGGGCTTTGTGCCTGAGGAGTCAGGGCTTTAAATCCTAGTGATGGGTCTCAAGCCACATTCTACTAGGTATTTGATCATAAGTGCGTGATAGTGTGATGCTCGCCCGACAAAAAATTAATTTAAATAAAAATAAATAATATGAAAATTAAAGAGTACTTATCTTTTTGAAGTGGGCTGAAATATCGGCCCCGTTGAAATGAATATAATATGTTGATCCTTAGGCCCATGTTAAGTGGAAAAAAGCCTGTTGACTACGAATATACTCCATATTAGACTATTTGCTCGGCCACCACAATGAATCAAGGACGAATTGCACCCACGTATCCATTTTTTGAAGCCACATATCTCAAAAGGTGAATTAATGTAATGGGTCCACTAATTAATTTAGTGACCAAATCCATCTGCCATCCATCTGCATTCTGCGAACAAAATTGGCAAGCCAAAGTTTGAGAGCAGAAGCTCTGCCACTGCTGCCTTTAGAGATGCTGGAGTGTCGACAGAGAGAAAAAAAGGAGCGCGGATCCCCTGACCCGCCGCCTTGGCTCCAACCGGAGAAGGGAGGACCGAATCCGGTTATTGCCGGCCAGAGAGTAGGTGTTCTCAAAGCGTGTGCCTGACGGGTCTCTGTGGTCGTCGCCGGAGGAGAAAGAGCGACCTTCGTCCAGGGTCGTCACCCAACAGAGAGTGGGAGGCGTCCAAGAATGAACGACACCGAAACCGCGGTGGAAGAACGAGCAGCGGTGCTGAGACTTGCTGGACTGCGAGGTGGAAAACACCGCTGCAACCGGTGTCTGGAGTCGCCTGCCGGCGAAGCGAATGGGCAGAAGAAACAGCGGCGAAAGTTGGTGCTGCGACGCTGGTGGAGCCTAGAGCGAGCTGCAGATAACGTCGTTGCGTGTTGACCGTCGTTGTACGCTGATGACCGGTGGAGGAGCGTGCAAAGCTTGTTTTTTCCAGATCCAGAAGTTGGGGATTTCAATATGGAAATTACACCCGGCGGCCCACGACGGCTGGCTAAATCTGTGGCGACGGTGGCTAGCCGGCGACAGGGGGTGCCAGACCAGAAGTGGGGCGGCAAACCTGGGACGTAGCTGGAGGGTGACGCTGCTCCGACCATCTGCTCAATTCAGATTTTCCTTTCCAGATCTGTTCTTGCTGTTTTTTTGTCGAAATTCCAGATCTGATTTTTTTTAGAACAGTTTCTGGATTGGATTTTTTGTG